ATGAAGCTTCTCCACAACTGCCCGATACTCCTTGAATTTCTCAAAGCATTCGGACTTGCGGTGCAACAGATAAACGTACCCAAATCTCGAGTAATCATCTATGAAAGACACATAGTACTCGAAACCTCCTCTAGCCTGGATCGACATAGGACCACACAAATCAGAATGAATCAATCCTAGCACTTCTTGGCTCCTATACCCCTTTGCCGTAAACGGCCTCTTGGCCATCTTACCTTCCAGGCATGATTCGCAAGTTGGATAGTGCTCTTCCAATGGACCGAGATGTCCACTGGCCACTAACTTTTGAATCCTCCTAAGGTTGATGTGTCCAAGTCTAAGGTGCCACAGATATGCTTGATTCATCTGCGAAGACTCCTTCCTCTTATTAGATGTAGTTATGACATTATTCAATTCATTATGTTGCACTGTGGGAGAGTTCGGTTTGAGAACATATAAATTGCCAACTAATGAACCACAACATATGAAACGATTTTCAAAACGAATAATAACCATGTCATCAAACGAAACTGAAAACCATCCATAACGAGTTTAGAAACTGAAACAAGGTTCTTTCTAAAACTAGGAACATAAAGGCAATTTCTCAAAACCAAACTACTACTATCGAACGATAAAGTAACATCTCCCACTGCAACAGCTGCCACTTTCGTAGCATTGCCCATGTAGACGGTAATCTCTCCCTCCCTAAGTCGCTTGGTTTTCTGGAACCCCTGCAAAGAATTGCAGACATGATCAGTGGCTCCAGTATCTACACACCAGGTTCTGGTAGATACAACCGCTAAACATGTTTCTACGACATTAACGAGAGAGTTACCTTTCTTGAGGAGAGGGCAGTCGACCTTTCAGTGTCCTGACTTATTGCACTTGTGGCATCTTCCTTTCGGTTTCTTTGCCACAGCCTGAGGGGTCGGTCGTGGGTAAACCGGAGCATCCTGTGCCTTTGCCTTTCCTGCAGACTTCTTTCTCTTCCTGCCCTTATGAGCCTGGAAGGTCCAGCCTGCTCGGCGACTAGCACCTGAGGTGCTTGAGTGAATAAGGCCTCCGCTGATTGGAGCTCTGCAAGCAGTTCTGGAAGAGCCATATGCATCTTGTGCATGTTGTAGTTCAACCGGAACTGATCAAAGCTCTTCGGCAGAGATTGGAGCATAATATCAACCTGGGTTTCCCCGTCAATATAACCTCCCATAACCTCAAGCTCATTGAGCTGCGCCATAACCCTGAGAGCGTGCTCCCTTACGGGTGTGCCCTCGGCCATGCGCGTACTCATCAGAGCACTCAAAGCCTCTTGCCTAGCAGCCCTAGACTGATGTCCGAACAGATCCCTGAGATTGAGAAGTATATCTGCTGCAGTGTCCTTAGACTGATGCTGATGTTGAAGAACATTTGACATAGAAGCCAGAATGTAACACTTCGCCATCTCATCAGCCTTCTTCCACCGAGCATACTCCTCTTTCTCCTGCTCAGGAACATCAGCTGCCGGCACTGCCGGGCAAGCATCAGTGATAGCAAATTTATAACCCTCAGCAGTCAACACTATGTCTAAGTTCCTCTTCCAATCAATGTAATTAGGACCAGTAAGCTGATTTTCTTTTAGAATGACAGACAATGGATTGAACGACATGATGAATATCCTGAGAATCATGCAAATAAATTTTACAGATTAAACACTTTTGAATTTAACTGTTAATATTGATATCTTCAAAACAACATTAACTTAAATCCACCGACATCTATTACACCTTGTGAGAATGCATGCTACGAGGGTCGCCCTACAAACTCGCATTTTGTAAGAGAAGGGGTTTTCTAAGGCCCATTAATTTCCATAAGTCAAAACCAAATTCATGACGAACGAAATTAATAGTCGGTCTCCATTTGGCCATGCAATAGAATTCAGGAACCCCGAGGGGGGTTAATAAATTTAATCGCATTCTAAGTGAATCCCATTTCTCGGTCCTAAGGTCGTCAAATTTGATTATACGTCATCCGAGGGGAAGCCCGTACGCTCTCATAAGATTTCCTCTAAACGTCTACTTTTAGAAATTTGTCCTGGTAATTTCCTACAATTAATTTTAGCAATGTCACCCGAGGGGGAGCCCATAACCGCAATTAATTGATTTACCGACAAATTAGAAATGGAGGCCTTAGGAATTTTACAATTAACTTTAATTTAAAATCCCTTCTCAAACTTAGTATAATTTAATGAGGATTTTTAACTATTTATACAATTCCAAATTAATCTATGTTAATGCAATAATTAATTAACATGCATATTAATTCATGCAATTCTAAATTAATCTATGTCAATGCAATAATTAATTAACATGTTCAATAATTTATGCAATTCTAAATTAATCCATGCCAGAACATAATTAATTACATGCATAATTTATTGACACAATTCTAAATTAATCCTATGCATCACATAATTAATTAACATGCATAATTAATCTTGCAATACTAAATTAATCCCATGCAAGAACATAATTAATTAACATGCATAAATAATAATTTAATGGCATAATAAATTTAATTAAATAAATAAATAAATCCACTATTATGGCCATTAAATATTGAGTCTCCTTAAACAAGGAAACTGTGACAGTTCTTTTCCCTGTTCAACTGGAACTCCTTTAAGCAGTAGAATCCTGGTTGATCTTGTACTGCTTGGACAACAAGGCAAAAACACCAGCTACCAGCCGCCACCTGCCGCCGCCACCAGCCACCGCCGGTTCGCCGGCCGCCGCCACCAGTTCGCCGGAAAAACGCCGATTTTTTTTTTTTTTTTTAATTCTTCGAGGCTCGTTGATCTCTTGTGATCTCCCGGTTATCAACACACGATCACAACACGAAAAATATAATTTACAAAATTACATAATTCGATCCTAGATCCAACGAATGGATGTACATGTTTTCTAAACAAATAATTAAATCTATCCGGTCAACCCCCGGGCGAATAATTATTACAAACATTCATCCATAAATTCCTCGACATGCCCGAGGCTTTAAAAACAAATTTAAAACCATACATCACATTCAACAACATTCATCAAACACATAATCGGCCATAATAGTGGATTAACTATTTTCCTGCAAAACCGAGTTATGCAAATATAATCCAATATATGGCTGCGTTTGAACACATCTTGTCAAATAAAGCCGTAAAAATTCGAACTTTGTACAAAACGAATTAACCAAGTGCTCTGATACCACTTGTTGGGATCTGTGAGGATCTCGTTATGTACAAATCACGAATTCAATAGCAAACGTAAACCTATGCGCAGCGGATCTAAAGGTTTGACGTAGAGAACTTACGGCTTAAAATTTATGTAGATCTGGTTGACCACGAACGGTTGACCGCAATTGATTGACCGCAACACGCGTCTTGGGTTGCACGAACAAGATCAGATCAAAACTGGATCAAACGGATGCAAACAGATCAAAACGAAATTTTGCTGCCAGACACCTTCCGGCGGCGCGTGAGGGCGCGTGCGGCGTCGGATTCCGGCGACGTCGGCGGCGATGGAAAGCTCTCGTCGAGACGGTCGTCTGGGTATACTGTACGTCTCAATCGGACTTCCGGTTAGTTCTGTAGGTCAAAATCAATTTCGTCTCGGTTTACCTACAGATCTTCTACTGTATTACTCAATACACCCTTCTTCAACTTGTACCAGTGGAGCAACAAGAAGAAGATAAAGCTCGAATGAGATCTAGAGAGAGAGATGGTTTCACGTGAGAATGAGACTTCTATTCTCTTCTCATGAGCTTAATGATGTATATATAGAGCTACAGTAGGGACCCTAAGGAGATTAGGAAAAGGGCTCCTTAATTAATTAGACTAACTGTGGGCCAAACCCACTCCTCTAATTAATTAAATAATATTAATGGGCCACCAACATTATATTATTGCACTCCCTTTCCCTAGCCCAAATTACATTTGAGACTCCAATAATAATTACTCGATTTACCTCCCCACGTTTAAGATATAATGTCCATTAATTAATTCGATTACTGACAATCAAGAATTAATTAATTTATTATTATTTCACCGAAGCTAGCGCTCGTTCATCACATTCTTATTATGCCGGAACTTAATCCACCTGCAGGGTTTAGCATAACAATCCTTTATGAACTCACTCCGGGGACATCATCAAACTAACGCACATGGTGACCGTAAATATCCTAACAGCACATCCTATATATAATAATATTACCCAAAACAGTAGGAATATTAATCCAGCGAACTGTACCTCACCCATGTGAATCAAAGTAATATATATTATATATATCTGCCTGTTTAATATCTTACGGGTTAAGAGAACGCAGTAATTAACCGAGGCCTAGTTCATTTACGACGATCAGTATAAAATGAACTTCTCCTCTCTGGGATCCTGTTCAATACATAAATGTACTGGCGCAACTAATCAGTCAAGACAAACTTAACAGTTGACACTACAACCGTTCGGATGGGGTGTTCATGTCCATCTAGGTTATGAACAACTATTCTTGTTCGCAAGTAACTGACAGAGTGATCTTCGGTTCGCCCGATGACGACCCACCCTATCTAAGTGCAGAACAACAGAACTTAGAACTTGTTTAATCTAACATGATTCTCATTCATAAAGGGTAAATGTGTAATATCATGCAAAGCCAAGCTTTCAGTATATAACACTAACAGTTCATATGTATTATAATGATTTCGATCCTAATGCATGTCAAATTATATTATTCTCCAAATTTATGCAGCCCGTGCATCGCACGGGTTACGCACTAGTGTTGTTGTGATCATAGAAACAATATGTTGTCCCTTTATTATTAGTCAAATAAAATTATATCCAATGTACTTTGCTCCAACAATGCAAGTTGGGGGTTAAGAGAAAATAGATAGTACTTGAAGGGCCTTATTAGAAAAATGGATAAACAAAGGTATGTTTGGAGGCTATAACAGTAATTTCAATCAGCCAACATCAGTAGAAAACTGAGAGAATAGCAGAAAAAAGCAGAGGGAAGGTGAAGTGTGCGTTTCAGTTTCACAACCTTTATTTTTTTTTTATTTGTCTCCTTTTTTTGTCACTCATTTTCTTGCGGAAAATCGAATCTCAAGTCCTCAACTCTTCCCTTTTTCCTCCATTTTGTTTGCTGAGCAAAAACCTCTCAAGGCTTTCTGATCCTCTCTCCATGCCTCCATTCCTCGGTATAATCAACTCAATAAAGTTTTCAGGTCTGTTTTCTGCATCCACCGCCCGCAAATTTCTGATTTTGATTGTGTTTTTATGTTGGAATTTTTGTTGCTTTTGATGTGGCTTTTGAGATCTTTCTCTCTTTTTCTGCATATTGGGGTAGTAGAAATGTGGGTTCATTGACTTGTTTGATTTCGTCGCATGGCGCATTGAGTTTAAATTTTGTTGGGCTTTTTATTTCGTAGTTGTGGATCGTTTTTATTTCTGGGTTTTTTCCTTAGTCCCTAATATGGATCCTTTCCTTTTCTTCTCGAAGCATTAATGTCAAGTTTGGATTTTGATTTGTTCACGTTATTGTGCACGACTGATTTCTTTCTAGATCTGTGAAGCTCCCATTTAACTAAAGGGTGTGAGGCTCGATTTTAGCTGTTCTTGTTAGTATTTACAGGCGACATTCTTACCGTTGATTGGTTCATTATTATTTTCGGAGTTTAATCAGTGTATCTGAAAGGGGGTCATTCTCAGATCTGGGATTTAGACAGTACTGTTTTACGTTTGGTAGTTTAAATTTTAGTGTGTCCAGCCCAAATGTACAGGAAACTATGTGGAAACCTTAGATGTCTTGCATTTTTAGATAAATTTAGAAGTGGGTTTTGTTACTTGTTCGGCCGAGAAGCATTGCTTGAATTTCACATGTCGAAAGTATTAACAGATACTCCTTTTGGCGATTCTTTCTTCAAATTGCTAAAATCGCTTTGGATGCTCACTACTCGATTAACAGTTGGTGCGTGTGTGGTTTGGATTTCCTATATCTGTAGATTTACTTGCTGGAGGGATATCCAGTCACATTGTAAAGGAAATAAATGCTTTCCGTGTGGGGTACTTTTGGTGGGAGTGAGTTGGCGCATTAGATGCATTTCCGACACGTGACGTATGCTTTAGCTGGTTAATGATGTTTTTTGTTAAGGGTGGTTTGAGATTTAAATTTGAATTGATTACAAATATACATTTAACCACTCTATTCTGTGCCTTTTCTCCGTTTCATTTTCCAGGTTCCGTATCCTGTGGATCTCATCGTGCTTTCCTGAACTTCTGAGCTCCATACCTTGAATTGGTCTTCTTGGCGGATACTGTTGTCTACTTCCACCGTTGTTTCTTTGACTTCTTGAATTCTTTGGAAAATTGAAAAAATTAAGTTTCCGACATGGGTTCTCGTTTTCCCTCCCATAAGTTGAGCAGCGGCCTTTATGTGTCGGGCAGGCCTGAACAGCCAAAAGAGAAGACTCCAACAATGAGCTCTGTGGCCATGCCTTACACTGGCGGTGATATAAAAAAATCCGGCGAACTTGGTAAAATGTTCGATATTCCTACAGATGGATCAAGATCTCGAAAATCCGGGCCCATAACCGGTGCTCCTTCAAGGACGGGCTCTTTTGGCGGTGCCCATTCTAACTCAGGCCAATTGAACTCCGTTGGCCGTGGCCCGGCCGTTGGGTCAGCCTCAATGAAGAAGACGAATTCGGGCCCACTCAATAAACACGGCGAGCCGTTGAAGAAATCTTCGGGCCCACAGACCGCCGTTTCCCGCCAGAATTCGGGCCCTCTCCCACCAGTTCTGCCGACTACTGGGCTTATTACATCTGGGCCTATCACATCGGGCCCGCTTAACTCGTCAGGCGCTCCTCGGAAGGTATCGGGCCCAATGGAGTCAATGGGCTCTATGAAGATGCACAATGCTCCTATTGTTAAAAATCAGGCTGTAACTTATCTTGGCCAGGATGTTGAGTATTCTTTCCGTAAGAGCTTCCCTAGGCCGATCCTTTGGGCTATCATTCTTCTGTTTGTCATGGGATTTATTGCTGGTGGTTTTATACTTGGAGCTGTCCGGAATCCTATTCTGCTTGTGGCCGTTGGTGTACTTTTTGCTTTGGTGGCCACTGTGTTTACCTGGAACACTTGTTGGGGAAGAAGGGCTATTACTGGTTATATAGCTAGTTATCCGGATGCTGAGCTGAGAACTGCTAAGGATGGACAATTTGTCAAAGTTTCCGGGGTATGTTTACTTTTAAGATTGTTATCGTATTATCTGAAAACATGGTTGTCTCATACAGTTCTTTTTTTTTTTTAAATCCAATTTCACTTTTCTGACAATCTAAAAAACAACTGTGTGATGTTGCTTATTTGGATTTAAATTGAGAATATCATATATATATATATGCAGTTGCATTTGGTTCATGGGAATATTGATGTTGTATTGAAGTGTTTTGATTGGTATGTTATAGTATGCTGCTGACAATAAATGTGTATAAGGATAGTGATTGGAAGTAAAGTAACATATTTGCTCATACACTGCAGAGCTGCAACTCTATGAATAAAAATTTATCACATGAGGTTCTGATACAGCTGTTGTGATGAAGGGGCTGAGGTTCTTCAAATGATAACAACGAGAATATTTGAACTCAATCAATGCAATGGTTTGTTTAATTTATGGAAAATAGTAATATGTCAAAAATATGTGCATTCTTGTGGAAGTCACTCTCTGAAGATTTACTTCATTTTGTTTTATGATGAATCTTGTATTTATAAATTCCTGATGTTGTCTTAATAAAATGTTGTTGGAATTATGTCTTTTGCTTTGTAGTCGAAATTCCCAAAAGCTAGGCATTGCCCGTAATCCTAACAAGTTCGTTTTTTT